AAAAAAATTCTACGCCAGTGGCATTCGACAGGTGGAGTTGGGCAGTGATGCTGCTTCATTGGTCACCGGGCGTATGAGAGTTGCAAACTGCTCATCCTGGTGGACATCTCGAGCAGAAATCCATGCCCTCCACATGCGCACCTTCTCACAGTGTCATAGCTTGGAGACAGTCAAACTGCCATCCTGCCTGCGTGAGATCCTAGCAGAGGTTTTCATTGGCTGCAAATGTCTGGTGAACCTGACGCTCCCGGGCAGCATTCGATATGTGGGGTATGGGGTCTTTGGCAACTGTGCCGAGCTTTCTCACCTGGGTTACGCTAGGAATAAATTAGAGGCGATATCCTTATGCCGCCTTCAATGCCTTCGAGGAATGTGTCAAGCTAAGCCACCCCAAAGTGGCTCCACTACATCCCGCCGAGACAACCATCGACAGCGACCGTCCGGAAGTGAAAAGCCAGAGAGAGCAAGAACGGCTCCCAAGTAGCTGTCCCTCGGCATTGCCAGGCGGGGAATGGGTACTGGGCATAAGTCTGCCCCCTCTGCTCCCCCGGTTGTGGTAGGAAGGCTCAAAGGGACAATACCCCTGACGAGGCTCAAATCTCAAGTGGGAGCTTTGCAGGTCGCCGCAATGGTGTGTGATACTTGGTCACAAACGAGCTCGCTAGTCATCAATGAACGCCAGTTGGTGTTGCAACTCATGCTGACAACCCTTTCTGGAGAAGAAATACAAGTCGTCATCGATCTCCAAGAGTTTGACACGAGTTGCGCAACAGGTTGCTTCCGCTTTTGGGGGTTTGGTTATGTTGTGGTGTTTTTTGGGTGTTTTGTTTCCTTCGCTTGATGTAACTCCCTCTTAACTCGACAAAGGTGACTTGTGCAGAACCTGCACACATAGCGCCTCGACTCGTGCAAAAAATCGATCTCCAAGAGTTTGATCGGTTAGACGAGTTTGAAACTGCCGTCCTCGAGCAGCTCCCGACCATTGGAGGGCACAGCACTTTGGGAGCGAGCTAGCCTTTGTCCACAAAGACACTGGAGAAATCCTGGCGAATCCTATCTGGGATACTCTCCGAGACTGTAACCGCTTCAACCTTGTGGTCCGACAATGTTTCAGTCAAGCCGAACACAAAGGGCAACTGAAGAGAAGTGCCAAAGCAATTCGAGTACCACCAATTCGGACGGGTCGTGTGTTACCCCATGCGTTCACGCACGCGATCGATGTGAGGCATGTGCAAGTAGAAGCAGGAATACAAACCATTGGCGAAGCGGCCTGGCTAGTCTGCCTGCAAGATGGAGCCTTCCGCCGGAACTATGTACTCCACACCGTCATAGCCCCAGGGTGCAAATACTTTGGGCTCTGGGTATTCGAAGAATGCTATGCCTTAGCACAGATTGGGGATCAAAGCACGACAGTCAATCAGCTGGCGCCAGGCGCGATTTCGGCCGCGAGCCTTCGAAAAATGCAGCGCCTTGCAGCAACGCAATTTTGAGAGAACGGAATACGATCCCACCATTTTGAATTCGTTCCATACCCGAGGGTTGCTTTTTCGAGGCAGGAATAGAGTCGTTATTTTTACCAGCAGATTTCAACTGGATGGGTCCAGCGGCATGCGAGCATTGTAAAAGGTTGCGGATAGTTGACGTCTCACAAACCGAAATCAGTGAGATTTTGGGGGGTACCTTTGCACATTGCTCACAGCTGCAGCAGCTCCGACTGGCCAAAGCAGTGAGGCGCATTGGGCGAGACGCCCTCCTAAATTGCACCTCCCTGGGTGAACTACACGCCCCACCCACTTTGCTCTTTATCGACAAACAAGCATTTGCTGGCTGTACACAGCTGTGCGCGCTCATCAAAGTGGGAAGAAAAACAACTTGGAGAGGTACTTACGCAGTGCACGATGCATTCGAGTCGTGCATGCAACTCGCACTCCCAAAATGGATCCGGCTCCTCCCCAAGCCAACTGATGGCCATGAAGAGTGGGCTGACTTCATGAGAAGCTGCGCAGAATCGAACTGCAGAGAAGCCTGACCATGCAGACCTGCGTCCGCATGCGGGTTCTACGCAAACCACATACCTGCCAATAGACCTGCCAACACTGCTGCCTACACTGAGTTGCTAGACAGCGCCCAGGGCTGCCTCCCAAGAGGTGGTCGTGGAAGAGTACAGATGTACAGTTCTTCAAACTAGGAATAGCGGCGTTTCACTGTTTCACGTAGTTTATGGGGCGTGCATGCTTTCACGGATTCAAGAGCGCTCGAATTGCAATACGGAGACGCTGAGCTTGTCGAGGCTTGCCAACAGAGTCCTGCCTGTCAAAAATCCTTGAGGGCAACGCAAGTTCGCGGCGCTTCGTCATTGTCGCTCCCGTTTGCCATTTTGGAGCCGCTGTCGCAGTGCGCACTTTTGTCACTACCTCCCCCCTTTGGGTGGGGGGACCGTTTGTCTCGGTTCATCCCCTCCTATGTCCTCGGCAGGTCATGACTTTGTCAGTTTGGCAATCGACTCCTCAGAGTATCACTCTCCCACGACAAGCCCTTAGTGCTGAGTTAATCGTGCTCAAGCAATTGTGCTCTTCGCAGACTTTCCTTGGGATTTTGAACACAGTGAGCCGAAAACAGAGATGACCATCCCCTGTTTCAATCGGGTGTGCTGCAAATCATGCATCCGGCGCTTGAAGGAAGCAAACAACTGGTGCCGTCAAGTGCCAGATTGACGAGGCCAACTTGGAACACACTGAGTCCGCCTGAGGCAAAGTTGTGCTCTTGGATATAAGTCATGATTCGCCTTGGCACAGAGATTCTGATGACAATGTTCCTCACTCCTGCACACGTTTGAACACCCTTGATGCTGACTGGTCAGCACCAATATCGCTACACAGGTACTCACTGCCCGCAAAAAGGAAGTTCGCTACCTCCTGATCCTCAGAAGAATGAATTCAATGCCCCGTTTCACCTCGCTCTCAAGACAGTCGCTTCGGCTCTGACAGCCCTGATGAGATACGAGCCCGGCTTGTTCGGTTTGGGTGTTTGGGTGTTTCTGTGTTTTTTGGGCTTGTTGTTTTGTACCTTTTGTTTTGGTGTCTGGCTCGTATCTCCTTAGTATATACTCCTATTTAAATCATTCAAGGTGACTTGTGCCTCTCGGCACACACAGCGCCTCCACCCGTGCAAAAAAAATTCACGTTTCACATGTCTCACCGTTGTACAGTGCGAAACTCTGCCCACATCGGTTGTTGGGGTTTCCGGTGTCGTTTTTGGTTGGCTTTGTGGGGTTTTTGGGTTGGTGTTTGTTTTCCTGCTCGTTCTTTTCCCCTTACCAATATGTAGAGTTTCCATCCTTATCATGATGACCTGGGCACACCGCCCACACGGCGTCCGCACTCGTTTAAAAAAACACACAACTCAGCAGACTGCGCAAAATGAACGACAAAACAACATGGAGAGGACCATATGTCGAAAGTAACGCTTTCGAGAAGTGCCACAAGTTCGACGTGCCAGCATGGATTATCTCCTACCGCCAAATTAAGGCAGCAGTAGGACTTTCGAGGCTGAAAATTTTTATCACGCACTCTCCTCCCCTTGGGGGGGAGTTGGCCCTGTCGGCATGATGCTCGCGCTCTCAATACTACATGGTCTTGGCTTCGCTGCACTTGTGCTTTCGACAATTTGAAGTAAGCTGGTACAGTGGTTTTCCTCTGAGCCTCCCATGTTACCTGATCGACTGCCGACTGTTTTGCAAGCTACCTGAAGTCCCATGATGCATGCTTCGATTGCTTCGATTGTTGTCTGTCAAACACCCCAGAGCCTTCAATGCTCTCAACACGGTACTCGCCCCATGTGACCTCTTTCAAGATGCATGACACTTCGGCAACAGAGGTCTCCACCCAAAGGATTCGCTCTGTCGATGGAATGCTGATCAAAAAACCTCTTTGTGGTAATGACGTACTGAGCGCAAAGGCTGAATTCATCGCCCCTGTCTCACCTTCTCTCATTTTGGCTGACATGGCTTGCGCGCCAGGTTGCAGTCGGTTCTTGGGGGCTGGTTTTGTTTGGTTGTTGGGTTGTTTTGGGGGTTTTGTTGTTTTGGTTCTGTCCTCTGTCGGTGCTCGGTGTTTCTTCTATTGCAACCTGAATTGTAACTCTCTCTTTACTAGCATAAGATGACCTGTGCAACCTCTGCACACATGGCGTCTCCAACCGTGCAAAAAGAACTCGCCTATCTATCTATCTGTCTGTCTATCTATCTATCTATCTATGTATCTATCTATCTATCTTTCTATCTATCTATCTATCTAGCACAGTTTGTAGCGTAGGTACTCCTGGGCGTGCCCGGGATGACAATGCGCAAAACTGTGCTGGGTGGGCGGGTGGGCTCTTTGGCGCCTTGTGGCATTCTTGTTCGCGGTTCACTTGGGTGCCGCGTGTTGGGGCCTTCTCTTTGTGCCAACTGCTTTGGGGTTGGCGTTCCTTTGCAAGTTGGGAAAACATTGGCCAATGGTCATCCTGATGATCTCGATTGCTTTTTCGCTTTACTTCTCGAATCCTAAATGAACAAATTGTTCAGTTGTGCGGTTCGAACTTTCGATTCCTTGTGCCTTCTGAGTAACTAGTTTGCATTCGATTTGTTCTGCAAGATGATGCATTCACTTCGAGTTCGGGACGAACATTTGGTCCGCCGTGAGCACAGGCTCTACTGCGCTTTGATGGCCCACCCTGCCCTCCCTTGAAGGGAATATTGCAGGGCTGGCGCCCGCGGGTTGGTTTTGGAGTGTTCCAAGAGTTCGGCGGTTGCAGTTCGATCATTGCTCATAAGGCATTCGTCTTTGACCATGGACCGGCCGTGATTGAGGCGCGGGATGTTTGGTTGTGAGTGATTTCTGTGCACTTGCATTGTCAAGGTTTCTTGTGACTTTCAGAGTTCATGTTGACGCTAGGTTATTCCGCGTAACGCTTAGCTTCATTTCTTTGAACGCCTTGCCTCCTTAGGCTTGTTAAGTGCTCGCCTATCTATCTATCTATCTATCTATCTCTCCATCTAGCACAGTTTGTAGCGTAGGCAAAACATGAAACATCCAAAGGATCCTTTCCTGCCCTACCACATGGAGGCAGCAAAGCGACCTGAGGTTCCCAAAGTACTGCTCCTCAGGGGTCTTGAAAGTCTTGAAGCCTGCGGTGATGGAATTGTCGCCAAAGACTATGGCTGGATCACCCAGTGAAAAAGGAAAGCCTCAGGTTCCTGCGCTGCTTGTTGAGGTGCCAGATGAAGACGAGCTGGGTCGTGGTGTCAAAAGGACCCAGCAGGAGAATTCAAGCCTGTTGAGTTGCTGCGTCCCCTTGAGTCCTATGAGAACATCATGACAAAAGGTGGCCAGGTGCGGTATGCAAGCCCCACCAGGTATTCTGAGGAAGAATGGAAGAAGTACTACTATCAGAGACCAAACCATTACCGTGCTTATGGTGGTCGATGGGTGCGGAGCCTGCAAGCGAACGGGCGTGAAGAGGACGGTTATGTTGCCGGACTTGGCTCGTACAATACGGGGACTGGATCAGGAAGGTCTAGATCAGATAGGTCTCAGAAAATTAGGGTATTGAAAATTGGAAAATGCGTGAAAATATGTTGACAATGTGTGCTTAAGTGTTTTCAAATGTGTTTATGTGCATTTATGTGTGAACATATTGGATTTTTTGGATAACCAGACAATGCGTGGCAAGTACGCGTGAGATCATTGAAACAAAAGCAGGGAATGGATCAGGGAGGATTAGATCATTAGATCATCTATGTGATTGAAGCGCAGACATGCATACGTATGTAGCATAGATTGTATGTGCAACGTGCGCAGTTTGATTGCTGTCATGGATGTCAAGGTTGCTTGCTTTTGGGGATTTGGAATGGAACATTTTTTGGGGGCCCGGGAGGACCATCGAATCGTTGTCGGTCGCTGTCATCACGCCGCTCTTCTCAAGGGTCATGCACTGATCACGGTGTGGACATGAAATGCTGGAGTTTCAAATCCCTACTAGAATACTTTCAGAACCTAATTAACCTGGTTTATTAGGAAGACTGACGCTCTCAGTGTTCGAAGTCGCCACGACCTTTGCCGTAGCCCTTGGCCTTTGGAAAGTCCTTGGCTCCTTTCAGCTTCGATTTTTGGGGAACTTCTCCCAGCAGTCACTCGCACTGTGGCCTGCCACAATGCTTGCATTTCGGTGGCTTCAAGGCTGAATGGCGCACTTCACCACAACTGAAGCGTGGCTGTCTCAAAGCATGCTTCGAGTTTCCGCCGAGAGAATGAGACTGGTTGCGTTTGGAGTCGACCAGCTCACCTTTCATAGACTTGGACTTTGTTTCAGCTAGAGTCATGACATCCAGCGATGCTGATCTTCCGCGTCTTGAAGAACTTCAGGAAGAGGACCGAGCGCTTGCTCATGTTGAGCTTTCATCTTTCCCGACGTGGAACCCGGCGAGAAAGATTGAGCAATGTTTGAGAGAGATTCTTTGGATGCTGTGGAGGGATGCACCGGAACTTGCCGCGTCTAAGCTGGACATTGGTCTGTTGTTGACCATGGGTGTCAAAAGGCATCGCCACTTGATCAAAGTTGTGAGTGGGTCAGCTTGTGCTTGTGACGTCGGACCTGTGATTTGGAGAAGAGAAACGAATCACAGTGTGACCTCGTCAGCGCTGTGCTGATGGAAAATATGCATTTTGCTTTGTCTGCCGTGTTTGGTCCACAGACATGGCTTTCCTGGTTCTTGGTGTTGTCCAAGAAGTGGACAGCGTCTCGCGAGCTTTGGTGTGCCCTGAAGCTGACACTGGATTTGGGTGTGTCGTGCATCGCACAGAAGAGGAGCCAGGCATTGCTTGGCTGGGATGGAAACCTTCTGGTGCGAGACAGTGGAGAAAATGAAATCCACAAGGTACTGGAGACAGTGGAAGGCAAATGGAAAACAAATGCAAATCCGCGCAGGTGCAGCAACCACAGTGTGGCAGGAAGTGGAGACAAATGCAATTGTGCGGCCTTTCAAAAGAAACAAGAACCTTCGCTCCCACAGTGAACCTGTTTGGAGAACATCAATGACACGGAGTCTCGCGTGCACCGCTCATCATCCCGCTTCCCAGCAACACGCATTTGCACCACCGTGCTTTCAATGCTCCCAGCATTTTTCATCGACGCCGCGCAAAGCCGCATGGCCCATCGACGTCGCAGACGGACCTTGACGGTGCGCCAGGTGCTTTGGCCGCATGATTGCACATCTGTCTCCCACTGGTCTCCACTTGTTTCTCACTGTCTCCAGTCTTTGGTGGGTGCTCTGGCTGCACGATTTTACACTTGTCTCCCAGTTGTCTCCCACGGTCTCCAGTCCTTTGTGGGTGCTGTGGCTGCATGACTTCACACTTGTGTGGACTTGGACCTGGACCAAGAAAAGTGTTTGCGGTCAACGTTGGTGTGATTCGTGTGGCCCAAGTCCGTCTGTGATGTCGCTGGGCCGTTCGGTTTTGTGCGGCGTCAGGGAAAAGTGTGCTTGCGTGAGTCCCAAAGTCCTGGTGCAAACGTGGCGTGCGCGAGGCTGGGTGTTTCAAGTTGCATGGTTGCATTTGGCACAACGTGTTGCCAATGTCGCTGTGTCATGCGGTTTTGCGTGACGTCGTCGGTGAAAACTGTGTTTGCGTGAGTCCGTGCCACCCGCGGGTGGAAAACAGCTGGTGAAAAGAGTGTCCCACAAGGGTGCCCACAAGAGAAGGGTGTCCCACAAAAGTGTGTCACAGAGTTTCGTGGAGGAGTGTCCTGCAAGAGTGTGCCACAAAAATGTCCCACCACCATAGTGAGTGTCGCGCGAAAGTGTTCGACAGGAGATCCGCAAAAGCGTCCGAGTGCTCCACAAACGTGCCCCACAAGAGGTCCCACAAGAGTTTTCCACAAGAGTGTCTTACAAGAGTGCTGCTGCTGCAAGGTTGCAAAGAGGCGTTTGCTGGACATGTCAAGAAGTTGAGAAAATTGATTTTTGTATTGTTTGCAGTTGGCAAAACAAGTTGCAACAATTGAAGTGACACGTGTTACTGAGTCTATTTTTTTTTTCGGACATTCTTGAATGCCGTGTTGACTGTTCCTTTTCTGCTTGCGTGCAAATGTTTTTTTGTTTGGTTTGTTGTAGGCACACTGCCGACGATTCACTTTCCAAAGTTTTTTGGCTTCAGCAAAAACAACTGCACTGTAATATGCAGAGTGCACCTATTTTTCATTCAAAAATTATCAAACGTCGTTTTTCCATAACATCCAGTCTTTTCAACCCCTTAGACACAGGTGCCTTGACCTTGAACCACCGAACGGGTTTTTGAACTCTAAACATTGTTGACCGGTGATGCAGTTCCTTGGTGAACAAATGACCAAGGCCACCAAATTGTTTCACTAGGGAACCAGAACAAAAACAAATGTACGGACAAGCGATTGACAAGATATGAATGTATTTCAATTTATATAGTTGGTTTGATATGATTGCGATCCTTCAGGGGATCAGAACAAAATTTGGGAACCAATACCAAAAGAAAGTGGTGCAGTGGTGCACCCCTGAATGCAGATTCAACATCTTTGTGCTCCGTATGAACAAAACATCATGTAGGTTTGTGTCTATAGTGTAGGTCAGCAATAAAGAACACATTTGCTGCTCATAAACGGCACGCCTTTATTTAATTTTGAGGAGTCAGCATAATGACCAACTTGATGCAATCCAGCATTTCTAGCCTGCCATCTGCTGACTGGCAAACGCTCGGTCCTTGGCAATTTGCGGTGCGCTTTGACACCATTATGTTTTTTCTTTCGACCAGGGACATTGTAAGTTGGTTATTTTTAGCTTAGGACTTCCACCTCAAGCTTTCGAGAGCCAATCCGAGATGACCGGGCTTCTCCGACCATGCGAAAGGTTTGGGAGAAGCATCGACGGAAAGAGGAGAAGTCGGAGGTGTGTTTCGAGGGTAGACAAAATGCATTTCGATTCTTGTTTTGTTCGAGGAGCGAGATGCTCAGATCTTGGAAGCTCGTCGACTTGCAGCTGAAGAGCGCATGGTACGAAATGCCTTCAAGGTTTCGCCTGAAGATTCAATGTGGTCAATATGAACAACATACCACAATTTATTTGCAGACAGGAAGGTGTGATCCCTCCTGTAGGCTCGAGGGTTTTTGTGGATTTGAGGTGAGCCAGCAGATTCGAGACTACGAATCAACGCAATCCAAATACAAGGAGCCAATGCAAATGTTTGGTTCCTTATGATTATTTGAAGTCATTTTTGCATAAAAACCGAGAGGGTCTCGGAAGCATGTAGTGACTACGTAGTGTTTGATGTCTCAATCACACATTGTGTAGAGGTATATACAACTAACAACTGACTGAACAGGGTATTTTGCTCGAGGAGCTGCACCAGCTTCGCATGGCTGAAGCACTGGAGCGCAAAGCTGCCCGGGATGCTGAAGTTCAGGCTTGCTGGTGATGCGGAGACAAACTGATGAATGATTTACCCTATTCATTGGGTTGGCCACTTCATCCGCAGTCCCTCATGATGCTCAACGCAAGCTGTGTTTGAGATTGCTTGGGTTCTATTTAGATACATTTTCCACAGTGCGTGCTATTCATCCAGGAGAGGCTGGCGGTTTTAGATGAGTTCAAGCTCCGCAAGATGAGGCAGGGATTCCAAACAGAGATACTCACGTGCCCAACATTCTTTCATCATGGCACTACAAGTTGCCCTCCAACGTTCCAAACTCCAGCGAGAATGTACTTAAGCAGGAAAGGGTCACCCAAACCTCAAGACATTTCATTCAGTTTTGTGGAATTTGGTAGGATAACAACTTCTAAAGGAAACCGCATTCCGTTCGAACCTTCTTATCCGGAAACATTCAACAGCCACTACACCCAACCAGTTCATTCCACTTATATAACAATTCAGCTTTCATGATCTCATGATCGGCTCACCTGTTTCTTGCTGCAGCTTATGTTTCTGTAGTTTGATTTGCCTTCCGCTCTGACATCTCACTTTGTCTACATTTAATTTGAACAATGTCTGAATACTTTGATTAATCACCTCTGAGTGATCCAGATTCATATCATCCCTCATTTGATTTCGTCTCACGGTTTCTTGATTCTTGTATTAGTATTTTTTGTGCCGTGCTCCTTCCCATCCATCTCCCCTTTTGCATCTTCTCTCATTGGCTGTAGAAGCATGGGAAGTGCAGTGAAGCATCTCTGGTCTCTTCTTTGGGGCTGCAAGCAAGTACCCGTACTGGCAAATGAACAAGGACAGCTTCACGTGTATTGAAGGGATGAGGAGTAGCATGATTACAGACTACATTGTGTGAATGTTGTCGTTGCTAACAGAGTGCCGAGCACCACGCACACCCACAATGTATATAATTGGTCAACACCTCGCCCTAACAAGAGCTCCCATGGGATACTTAAGTCAGGAATGTCCTGTGTCGCCATGCTGCCCGAACCCAACCACGTTCTTGCCTTAAGAATTCTTAAAGGGAAACACACAGCTTCGGTCATGCTTAGCATTATCTCCCCGAGCAATGCAACATTGAAAAAACAGCAGCTTCTGTAGGCCTGAACGACAACCGCTCCGCAGCTTTTGTCCTGAACCAGCCAGTGCATTGCATTCAGTTTACCAAAGCTTAACCAGACAATTCATGCCCAGCAGTGTTTGTTGCGAGGTAGCTTGTGTTTTTGTGTCGGTTGAGAGGCGTGCTTTGGACATGGCGGACGAGCAGCTGGAGCTCAAGAGAGATAGAGTGACTGATGGCTTGGAGGCACTATGATAGTAAGTGCTTGAAACAATGATGTCATGTGGATTTTGACGCTCAGGTGATGCGTGTGATGCCTTTGCTGGACAGACTTGTGATGATTAATCGATAGCATACATTGTTCTATGTTTTTTTTTTTTGCTTGCACTTATTTATGAGTCTGTGCACTTTTCCTCGCTCCTTTGCTTTCGGTTCTCCATTTCTTCTCTTTCAGTAGTTGCATGAAGAATACGTTGCAGACCGGTCGCTGCTTTGGTACCATTGCTCCTTTGCTTCGAGTCGGACTTGTGTGCAGATTCTGATACCATCGGTCAAGACCGATCTTGCACTTGAGCTCTTCTGTTCTTGGCAGTTTTCCCGTGGCTTCTTGGCCAGGGCTGAAACAGAATCAGGGAACATGAGAACGATGCCGATCTCGCTGTATTTTCAGTCTTTTTGTGTTTGACCGGCCTGTTTCATCTTTAATGGGGCTCCCCACCTATCCGAGCGCCTCTACTTTGAATTATATACTTTCCACCACTCTACCTGCCTTCTCTCCCTCTCCTCTCTCTGCCCCTCTCTCTCCCCCAACTCCTCCACCGTTTCTTGAACATGCTTGCATGCTTCTTCGTCCACCATCCGTGGTTTGTTGAGAAGTTAGAAAATGTCGTCCAAGGCTGTCGGGACGCTGTTTCTGTTCATCGTTGAGCTTTGGAAAGTTATCTTTGTCCTGAAAGCCTGCCGCCTTTACTTGTTCGTTCTTTGGATAGCAATATATATATATAGATAGGTGATATAGTTCTTGTTCATAGTAAGGGGTAGCTAAGTCCAAAGTCCAATGCGCGCGAGCACGGTAGGAGGGTAGCATTCTTGTTAAGTTACACAGCCTCTTCTGTTCCAATCATTGTACTGTGTTGGGCTGCGGAAAGTGCTGCTTCTTTTGTCTTCTGCCGGCCTTGCCTGCAGGTGTGGCAACAACGTGTTCGTCGTTGTCGCAGGCATGCTCGGAATGAGGACTGTCAAGTCGTATAGTGATAGTGGACTGAACACATCAAAATCCTAAGTAGAAAACCGCGTCCTCAGCACCTGCTCAGTTCATCGCCAGCAATTTTTTGGAAGGATTGGGGACAGATTGGGGAAGATTCTTTACACCTGAATCCGGCAGGAGCACAGAGCCAAGGCCAATCTAGAGTCCAGCCAAGAGGCCTATCTTGCTCGGCTCACAAAGGCAGGCTGACCTTTGATGTGATTTTGCAAATAGACTGCTATTAGCGCTCTTCCCCAGGTTGGCAAAGCACGGAACGAAAAGACAGAGACACAAGCGCAGAAAAATGACAAACTCAAGTCAAGGAGTCCGTGTGCGAGATTTGCAATCGACATCCAATTTGATGTCTAGAAATGCAAAATAAAGAGTCAAGACTACGGCAAAGTTAAGCTGGACTTTGCTTCCAGAGAAGACCATACATTTAGACTGACGGTGCCGGAATTCGGAGAGATCATGTTTCCGCAAACGGATTACAAGGATCCAAATCTCGCTGATGCAGCAGTTGGAAGAACAGAGGAAACTTGAATGTGATCGACAAGCGCTGGCACTGAGCTCAGCTTGTTCCAATTCCTCCAACTTTTGAGAAAAGAATGAAGATGAATCAAGCAAGATGCTAAGATGCTTCAAGAAGCCTTTTTTCAAGCAAATTCGTGCACTTCCATGTGAGGCAACGGAGGAAAAGCTGGAAGCTGCCAGATTCCGCCGGTACCAAAACTCCAGTTAGCGCCCAAGCTGGCAGTGAGAGAGCGGACGTTTTTTTCCCTCCAATATAATTCATCAAATGGACTAGACAATCCAACAAATAACAATAACAATGATTTTTTGCAGTTCTTTTTCTTCCTGTCCAGACAAGTACAACTTCCTGGAGAAGGCCTTTGGAGAGCAGGCTGCCGCTGTGAAATTGTGAATACAGTACAACCTATTGTTGCAATGCTACAGGGGCATGTCTGGTATCACAAGAAGCTGATACTCGCAGATTCTGACGTTGCGAAAGTCTCGGTGCAGGTGCGCTTTGACCACAAGTTTGCCTACATCTCCTCTCTGAAAAACCTATCTCAAACAAGGTGAAAAAGATGACATGAAATAGAGCATTCATCGGTTTTACCAGTATTGCTTCAATGACAAGAGACGAGGGTACAGTCCGAACTCAGAGGGTTGATGCCACAGGGTTCCTCTACTCGGGGTTAGTTCAAAAGATATGGCTGTTTGGAGAGGTTGAACAAACTCTGCACATGGCCATAATTAGCATGTTCACAAAACACACAGGGCTTCCGCCTCACAGTCTCACCACTTTTTGGTTGCGCAAAACTGCGCAGGTCGGTGGTTTTATAGAATGGACGTGGATGTCCAATGACATGCGTTCAGATGCCCATGAAGTCTCAAAGTACAAAAAGATACTGAGCTACAACTGGAGGGCTAAATGAAAGAACAAGCCACAGATGAAAGAAAAAGGGGAAGGCTCCTGGGCCTCACCTTCTTTTCTTTCATCTCTTTTTCTCTTTTAATTTAGCCCAAGACCAGTCTCTTTGCTTTTGCCACTTCTGCTTCAGTGGAGAGGAGTGTTGATTCGTCTTTTGCCAAGAATGCCGGTCACCTGCCAACATTTGCAGCTGCTGGACTCAACGTTCACCGATGTTCCCGTTTTGAAAGGCAAGGCATGGAGATCAGAAACAAAGCATCATGATTAAATATTTGGTTTGCAAAATCATCGAGTGATTTAAACAAAAGCCAACTCAGTTGTCAATGCAGACATCCTGAGACAATTTGGACATCATAGGCCCATTTATGCACTGCACATCAATTCACGGATGCCGGCGGAGTGGTTGAGTGGACACATTCTTGACCGCTTTGGCCTCACTGTCAAAACTGTGCATGGTAAATGCAGCCAAATTTCAATTTCCTAGGCAATACCGAGCATGAGTTTTGTTTGTTTCAGTCGTCGCACATTTTGAGGTGGAGATGACACTCGGGAGATGTACTCCTACTCGTTGGAGGGGCAGAATGAGCTTCTTCAGTTCTTGAAGGCTCCGACTGTCGGCCTGTGGGACAGGAGCTTCTTGAAGGTTCCGTTATGACATCAGACCTGTAGGCGATTCGCCCGGAGTGGTCATTCCCGAAGAAGAATGGCAAGAGCAATGTGCGGAGTGACTCGCCGGCAGAAAGCAGCAGAAAGCTGCAAGACTTGCACAAGTATTTTTGTTGCAGGTTACACTCTTTTCTTTTTCAACAGCTTTCCATTCTCAAAGCTTCTAGCTCAGGTGTGATGGATAAGCTGAAAGCTGTTGGTTCCTGTCTTAATTGATCAATTGATGAGAATATTTAATTACATCCAACTTTTGCGTGCTCCACAAGTGTTGAGTCCTTCATGCGTAGAGGTCCTTCACTGTTTCTCACAGCTGTGCCAATTGGCAGCCTGGCCTTTAAGACTAGCTTGAGTTTTCATTCCATAAGGTGTCACCACAGTGTGGGAGCTATTTCGAGCAGTGATGCGAAACACCATCAACGAGGATCTTGCTCAAGCAGGGCGGAGCTCTTAGCTTTGTCAGGGTCAAATCTAGCCGATGAACATGTGTTTCAACATGTTATGTACCCTTTCTTGAATACCTTAATTGCGCCACACTGAATGAACTTTGGAACAAGGTACTCCGTGCTGAGCAAAGAGACTCTTGACCGGATCCGAAAGCGCATGAGTTTTTTTCGGCAGTTGCTTGGATAGGGATTGATGTTTGTCTTTCCAGCGCACTTATTGTTAATGTCTTTGAAGCCAATGGTCCCGCCTTGTTCTGAAGGCTGGATGTCTTGACCGAGACGGATTGTCGACAGATCGGAGCTTTTGCGCCAGTGCCAACGACCAAAGCAAACTAAGTCAATTTTGAGAAGGTCTTGATGTGCTGGACTGGTTGTCCTTGGTGCGTGCTGCTGTTCTGATTTTTGTTTCTTTGTTAACTTTCCTGACACCTGATTTGCATAAGACGCGAAAAGGACAGGGTGTTCTGTTCTAGGTACCGCAGCTACTTTCGCAAAAGAAACTGGCATATTGGAGTCCTAAGCCTCAGCTGTAGTTGAGATACTAAACACAGAACAAAATGTTCACTGCTTGAATCACAGCGCTCTTCCAAGGCAAAGCAGTCCCGTCTGCACATGAAGGGAAAAAGATCGATGAAAGGCCACTTTATGACAGAGGAACACAATTGCATCATTCAGTCTGATCAAGTAGACTTTGATTGGAGTGGGAAGGAACAAAGGGTTTGCAAAGTTCTTGAAAAGAGCTAACTAAACTTTTGAGAAAGCTGCTAAGTAAACAGCTCGGAAAAACACCAGTGCTCAGCCGTAGCTCGGGTCCCTCGTTTGGGTCTCTAGGGCTCTAGGGTTCCTGGCCCTGGCCGTTGAGCATTCTGAAGGTCTCAATCTCCAGAGTGGCTGGGCGAGCAAGACTTTTAAACGTGTTTGTCATTCTGGAGTTTTGAAGAATGCCATCGCTGGTTGATGAGTTGATGACATCAGTTTTTCAGTTCTTTTTTTGCAGCATGTGTTCTCAAAGGATTTTGCCCGTGCCATGTTGGATGCACAGCCTTGGGGCTTAGGAGAAGCATCCCAAGAGCATCCTCATCTCAATCTCGTCGAAACTTATACGCAGTAGAGCAAGTGGAGGGAAGCTTGTGCGCGGTTGTTATGCTGTAGTTCCCCAAACACCGATACTGTTGGGGTTCTCAATTCCTGCGTAAAAATAGACTTTGTCACGCCATGACTCCTCTCCTGTCTCACGGGTTGTCTTGCTACTAGGTGGCGGTGTCTTGCCTCTCACCCTTCTCATGTCCCTCCGCTTTTCTCCGGTAGCTGTCACGACATGATGCCTTGCCTGTCTTCCTCCTTCCATACTAGTGGACGAGGATCTCACAAGCAAGTGAAAGTTTGTCTCATTTGTTTCCCTCGCATGCTTAAAGAAACCTAGTTTGCTTTCACCTGTTTGGGTCGAGGCTGGTGTGATGTGTGGTTATAGTGAATGTTAACATCCAAACTCGGTGTTGCAAGTGCAGCAAGTGGAAACATATACCGCATCTACTTTAAAACGTTGTTTTGTCATGTGCAAAAACACTCTTGGTCGTTTGCAGTTGTCTCTCCTCTGCCGTTGCGTTGTTTCTCACCACTGAAACCAAATCAGAGGTGAAGACAGAATGGAAGTGAAGCACCTGCAATTGTCTGTCAGAGAGGATGCGAGTTCTCCCAAAGGGCACAGCCTGAAGCCCTTGACATCCCAGGACGCAGTTCGGGTCGATACTTCAATACCCATCTCTTAGCTTCTTGGCATGTTGTCATAATATTTTGGGCATCTCAATTTTGTGCTAGAATGTCATATTGGGTCTTGTTGATTGCTTGATGCAGGACTTGTTTCGTTTCTGAACCTCTTTGTAGATAGGTCCAGCGAAAGTTGACTCTTTTTGTGACACTTTCACTGCCAGTCCAAGGTCGGCAACTCGATGGGCAAAGGCATAAGTATTGAGGCGCATTTTGTGAAGCTGAAGAGCAAACAAACGCAGCAAGCTTTCTTTGGAACCGCTGAGCTAGTCACGTGCGTGTGACTCTGCATGGTTTCAGTATGTGAGATATATCATACTTTGACATATCCGTAAAGAGCAAAGTATGTGTCTCACATGTTATATCCGCAAAGAGTCTCTCACATGTCTCGCACTGGGCGGTCTCGAGGTGGACGGTGTCTCTCGAGAGCTGAGCAGACCAAGGCTTCGAGGTGCCAGGCGCCGTGCGATATATATATATATATCTTTTTTTGCAGAAAGAGATGGGAACAACGAATTGTTTTCCAAAGACTGCGAGGACTTGTGTCCGCAGCAGAAGTGGACATGAGATTGAGCCTTTAAGGCCGGAGCGACTCAGAGCGACACAAAAGTGTTTTCTATACACATTGAAACTACAAAGAAGTCTGAGGAGACACTTTTGAATCTGAGTACCTGTACGGTCACTTGTTTTTGGAGCATCGGATTTTATCAATTGCTGCAGGGTGACGGAGAGATCCGACCCTGAAGTGACCCAGACTCTTGACAAGGTGTGACTATGCTTTCCTTCTGGGTACTGCAGACTGAATGATGCCTTTTCATCTAGCAAGAGTTCCGCCAATGTCACGAAAGGATTGAAACAAAGATGGAGCAAACTTTTGAGTGAAAGCTACTTGACAATCATGAAGAGCTAGCAGTTTCATGGTATGGGATTTCAGAATCTCAATACTGAGGGCTCAGCTGAGCAATTCTAAGCCGTCCTTTTCCACAGGTTTGGCACGCATCGCCACATCGCTCTTTTTCTGTCAGGACCGCTGGGCCTTGAAGTCTGCCCTGCGGCCCCCTGGGCCATCATCGTTGTCCAAAACTTGGCAGGCCAGAGGATACATGTTTCCGCACCAATCATGCCCAATAATTATTACCTTCATGTGTTTTCTGGCGTCTTCATGCATTTGAAGAGTCTTTTGTGTGGCACAAATCCATTTGAGCAAAGTCTTAGCAGTGGTTTCATCCAGCAGTGTGGGTTTGTTGTCTCAAGATGATTGCCACAGGCTTCGGGTGGCAGTTGCAAATTGTATACATTCAGAATTCGATTCTACCTACCATGATCTACCAGTGTAGGTGCTGAGTCAACGCTAGTTTGTAACTTGACACGAAGGATGCTTTCATTCATGTGCATTCGCGTGGAACATGTCCAAGAACTCATCGAAAGCCAATCAAGGCTGAGCCAAGATGAGGATCGTAGAGCATGACGGGTACCATTTCAGCTGCACAGTTCTCATACAAGTCGTGGCTTGCAAGATTATGGGAGAGTGAAAGGCCTTGTGAGAACACAAATGGTTCTCAGAAGCAAACTGACCAAATTTGAATACGTATGCCCAATGAAATCAGATTTTGCCAGATACATGTTGCATGGCTTCTTGGTGGGAGGTGGTGGGGCAACAGCACGCTTTTTGAATTATTTAAGGGACAGATTTCGGAAGGAAACCAAGCCTCAAGCCGTCCAGACAACACAAGCCAGAAGCTTTTGCCCTACAGTAACAACCAAGCGACTTGTTTTGTG